CTAGGGTTTTCAGGACTATGTTGAACAGAAGTGGTGAAAGAGGGCATCCCTGTCTTCTTCTAGGTTTTAGAGGGAATGCTTTAATTTTTCTCCATTTAGAACAATATTGGCCTTGGGTTTGGCATATATAGATTTTACAATGTTGAGGAATGTTCCTACTATCCTTAATTTTTCTAGTGTTTTGAGCATGAAAGTATGCAATGAACTTTCCAAATGCTTTTTCCGTGTCTATTGAAATAATCATGTGATTCTTGTCTTTAAGTCTATTTATGTGACAATTGATTTATGTATGTTGGACCAGCCTTGCATCCCTGGTATGAACCCAACTTGATCATGGTGCACTATCTTTTTAGTGTTTTTTAATGTGATTTGCCAGTCTTTTGTTAAGAATTTTTGCATTATGTTCATCAGGGATATTGGTCTGAGATTTTCTTTCCTTGATGTGTCTTTGTCTGGTTTTGCTATCAGGTTGATATTAGCTTCATAGAATGAGTTGGAAGGGTTCCCTCCTTTTATATATCATGGAATAATTTGAGGAGGGTAGGTGTTAGTTCTTCTTTGAAGGTCTGGTATAACTTGGCTGAGACTCACTCTGGTCCTCGGCTTTTCTTTCTTGGTCAACTTTTGATGATGTCTTCAATTTCATTGAAATTGATCTGTTTAAATTTTCTCTGTCCTCCTGATTCAGTTTGGGCAGGTCATATGTCTTTACAAACTTGTCAATATCCTCAAGATTTTCTACTTTATTAGAGTATAAATTTTCAAAATAGTTTCTGATTATCATCTGTATTTCATAAGTGTCCATTGTGACATTTTCTTTTTCATCGTGAATTTTAGTAATCTGAGTTTTCTATCTCTTTGTTCAATTGGCCAAGGATCTATCAGTTTTATTTAGTTTTTCAAAGAAACAACTTTTTGTTTTATTGATTTTTTGGATTGTTTCTTTTGTTTCAATTTCATTGATTTCAGATCTGATTTTAATTATTTCCTATCTTCTACTGCTTTGGGTGTTGATTTGTTCTTTTTTTCTAGGTCTTTGAGATGTAATGTTAGGTTATTTATTTGTTGACTTTCTATTATTTTAATGAATGAGCTCAATGCAATGAACTTTCCTCTTAGCACTACCTTCACAGTGTCCCAGAGATTCTGATATGTTATATCACTATTCTCATTTACCTCTAAGTATTTTTTAATTCCATCCCTGATTTCTTCTGCTATCCATTTGTCATTCAAGAGCATATTATTTTGTCTCCATGTGTTAAAGTAGCTTCTATTTTTTTAATTCTTAATTTTTTCTTTAGTTGTAGAAATGCCTTTATTTTATTTATTTATTTTTATGTGGTGCTAAGGATCGAACCCAGTGCCTCACATGTGCTAGGCAAGTACTCTACCACTGAGCTACAGCCCCAGTCCAGTAGCTTCTATTTTTTATCACTGATTTCTAATTTCATTACATTATGATCTGATAGAATGCAAGGTATTATCTCTATTTGTTTGTATTTGCTAAGAGTTGCTTTGTGGCCTATTTTAGAGAATGATTCATGTGCTGATAGAAGAAAGTATATTCAATCATTGATATTTTTGTATTTTTGGAGTCCTGTAAACCTCCTATATTTGATTTTCCATTTCATTCTTTAGGTAAATTTTCTGGTATTATTTCATTGAAAAGGTTGTGCATTCCTTCTGTTTGTATCTCCAAGTCTTCATCTGTCCCAATAAATCTTAAATTTGGTCTTTTGAGGTTATCCCATGTTTCTTGGAAGTTCTGTTCATGGTCTCTTAACATCTTTTCTCCACAGTCAACTTTGTTTTCAAGATTACGTATTTTGTCTTCATTGCCTGAGCCTCTGTCTTCCAAGTGGTCTAGCCTGTTGGTGATGCTTCCCAGTGAATTCTTAATTTGGCTGATTTCTTCATTTTCAGGATTCCTGCTTGATTTTTTTAGAATCTCTCTCTTTATTGAAGTGATCTTTGACTTTCTCTAATTGCTCTCTGATTTTACTCCTTATATCGTCTTTTATCTCACAGATCATTTTAACTATATAAATTGTAAACTCCTTCTCTGACATTTCTCCCACTGTGGTGTCAATGGATTCTGTTATTGAAGTATTTTTGGTTGATTTGGGTGATTTGTTCTCTTGCTTTTTCATGTTGTTAGTGTGTCTACCCATCTAACAGTATGGATCTGAGGCAGTAGAGTTTCTACTCTGTGGACTTACAGTTTCCCTGAAGGTTTCCAGTACCTCACTGTTTAGGGGGAGACAGATAATAAAAACAACCAATGCAAACAATATAAAGCATTAAACCAAGTAGTTCCCAATATGAAGTCTACAATGTTAATTATCACGATAAACAGAAATGATAGATCAGTTATTGCCTATAATAAAAACAGCAAGTTTGCAAAAGGGTTTACAGTTTCAAATGGTGGACAGGGAGAGAACGGAATGATATAGAATGATGATTATGAGGGAGGAGAGAAGGTAGATGTAAAAAATTAAAGGAAGAGTGAAAGAACAATAGAGATTAGCTGTTAGCAGAAGAAAAGAGAGAAAGAGAATTGAGGAAAACAGGTGAGAGAAAAAAAAATATCAATGTAAAGTTAAAGAATTCTTTCAGATGGACCAGGGAAAGGAAAAATTGTGCTCTATATGTGTACTAGAAATTGAAATGCATTCTGCTGTCATGTATAACAAATTAGAATAAATAAATAAATTTAAACAAGATTTTGAAAAAAAGAATTCTTTCAGTTGGATTTCAAAAGATTCTCAGCTTCTCAACAACGTTCGGTGGGGTCATCTGGAGCGAGATGCTCCACCCTCTGGATTGCTGGAGTGGGAGAGGTAATCCTGTAGGTGGAATTCCTGGAGGCAGGGGTTAGGCCTAAGTGGGCTCCAGGCTCTTTGCGGAATGCCAATTGGTCTGGAGATTTTAAATCAGCGTACCTCCAGGGCCCAGCAATTGATGGTCCACACTGGAAGACTGTACCCCGGGGACCTCCCCTGGTTTCCACTTGTGTGGTGGAGCCAATGTTTAGTCCAGTAGGTCACCTGTAGACCCCACATTTCCTGGTCTCAGCTTCAGCCTCCAAACTCAATCTCTCCTGCACCACTCCCTTTCCAATTCAGGCCAGACACGTCTCTCCCAGCGATCCTGCCAGCAGGGAGAAGGAGAGCTGGGGGTTTCCATGACCAGGTGTCCCCTGCGTAAACCTCTCTCCACGTCTGATTTTCTCCCGGTCACCTAAGCACACACTCTATGTGCAGTGTGGATTTGCTGGGGCCTGTATTTCAGGCCAAACTTCGGTTTGCCAGGAATTGGCCCCCTCCGCTGCTGGCTCCTGTGCCATGGCTGCAAAATGGTTCCTTCCTCTGTCTTCCACATGCCACCTGGAGAGATGGGGGCTTCTTTCACACAAGAGTATCTCAGTGTGTCTTTCAGTTCTGCCGGGCAGTGTCTGTGATCTCCTAAACTCTCGGTACCCAGACACACCTGTGGCTTCCTAAAACATGCAGGTTCCTTTGATTCCGTTTCCATCTACTTTGCTGGCCCAGGGACTCCTCTGGCCTGTGCCTCTGGCCTCAGCAGTGGCTGTGGTGCTGGAGATTTCTCCCTAAGTCCCCAATCTGCTTTGAATGTCCAGTTTTAAATTCCAGTAAAGTCCCACCCCCTTTTTTTGGTTCACCCACCTTGCAAAGACGCTGCCTGTCTGCTTTCTCGGTTTCATGTCATGGAGGAAAGCAACCCTCTCTATTCAGCCATCCTCAAAGTCTCCAGATGTGAGTTCTAAGTGAGTTGGTCCACGTGAAATCTCTAGCCCAGCATGTGATAAGTGCTCAGTAAACGTGTTATGACTTTATTATTATCATTTTGATTTGTGTTTTTGCTCTTTATGTGTCTTATGTCACCACATGGACCTCCACAGCACAGTCCAGCTCGTTCATGCCCCGAAGGGACAGCCATGCTGCAGATGGGGGCCACATGAACCATCAGATCACCCCTTCCTTCACCCAAATGCCAGTTCCTCCAGAAGAAGCCGGTGTCACACAGCACTATGGACACAGCCTGGGGTCTACTCTAGTTCCTCTATCTGCCAGCTGCACGGCCTGGACCAGTCTCAAATATGTACATCAGAGAGAATCTGCAAAATCAGCAGAAAATCATCAGGGACTGTCCTGCTGTCAGAATAAGGCTGGGTTCCCAGGAGAACTAACTGGCCAAGTTTGTACAAGTCGTCCCACATCTGCTAGTCACAACCCCCATTGAACTTCCTTAAACTCATTTTGTAGTTTTTGTTTTTGATAAGGCCTGAGGGAGGCTTCTGTAATCTGTTGAGCACGGGGCCTGTGAGGGTCTCGGTGGCTGCGCTCTGAAATGCTGCAGACCCATGAACTCCCATCCCCAGTATTTCATGAGGTGCAGTCATTAGCTTGTTGACCAAGTCTACCTGGGACCAAGGATACTTTTCGCTGCCATGATCACTGGTCTGACAAACTTAACTTTGATCTCAACTATAAGCCTCAGTCTCCTCAGCAACCTGAGGGGTGGAGAGTGGATATAAAATCAGGACAGGGCAAGGCCCCAAGCAGGTTCAGGGGAGGCCAGGGAGTAGCTAGGCCTGGCCAAGTCCCTCACAACTGTTCCTTGAGGTTCTGTGGCTCTAAACAGCTCACGGAATTCAGACAGAGGCTACGAGGGCGAGTGAGCACCTGGTCAATGCACTGTGACACCTTTCTCCTCCCAGGCTGTGCGTAACACAGGTCCTGCCATGGGATGCAGCCTGAGCCCAGCGACCTGGGAGCAGGTGGGGAGGAAGAGGAAGAGAGAGGCAGAGACTAGAGAGGGACCACCTGTCAAAGCAGCTGAAGTAGCCCCCCTCTCCCTGCCTGGCTCTCCAGCCTTGGCTTCCTCCCCTGAGCAAGGTCAGTCTCCCTGCAGCCCTTGAAGTTCCCCAGCCCTACACATACTCAAGTTCTTTCTCAGAAAGGGAAGCACCTCAGAGCCACTAGGAAACAACGATGTGTTTTATTTATCTCTTTCTGTTGAGAGGACAGATCACAAGACAGAGAACAGCAGTCCTGGTCACGCATCAAGGTTTGGTTAGTTTCCACAAATGCAATGGATGGGTGGGGCAGGGTCTGGCCGAGTTCCACTCTTATGACCTTCAACTTCTTGCCATGGCTCTCCAGCAGGGCTTCGTGGAGCCCTGCTGCGTCTCCAACCTGCAACACAGCTGTGGCCTCACACATCACTCCAACACTCACACTCCAGTCAACAGGCAGAGGAAGGACAAAGGAGCTGCCCCTGCTCCCCAGACAAGGGGACCTGGGCAGAGAAGCAAAGACCTCCCACTCTCCCCGTTGTCCATCCCATCTCCACAAGCTGGCCCCAGCAGAACAGGCCTCCCTCAGCTGTCACCTGCCAGTGACCCAACTCCAGGATGAGAGTCTGAGCCCAGACTGAAATCTGAGAAACAGGTTAGATGGGACAGAGTGAGAGGTTCCAGAGCCCCTGGGTTATTGCTGAGAAGATATGCAAGGGGCACATTCCCCAGGGATGGAATAGAAGCCCTGGGCCTGGAATCCCTGGGTACTCTGCAAAGGGGCAGGCAGATGGGGCTCCATGGTGCAGGACCCAAGAGGAAAGAGGCCATGGAAGGGCGGAGGCCGCCTGACAGCAACCTTGGCTCACCAGCAACTTCTTCCCACCTCCAATAGCTAAGAGGCCTTCCAGGCACTCGGGTCAGGGTGGAATATGGGAGTGAGGTTCTCGCGAAAGGACTGAAGAGTGGGTGAGGAGCAATGATAGAAAACTTCTCCAGCCCAGGAGAGTTGGGAGCTGGGGACTCCTGCCCAGGCACCTACTCTACCCTCATCCCTAAATCAGGAGGAGGGATTGGGCTCCCAGGGGAAAAGCAAACTCCAGGAAGCAGGAGAGGATGCAGAGCCACGGGGAGGCAGGGAGGAGCCGATGGCAATGGCTCAGCCCCTACTGGGGAAAGCGAGTCTACAGATCACGAATATGATACCAGCCACCAACAAGTAGCCACGAAGATCAAGTCGACAAGACACGTGCGCACACACACACACACACACACTAGGTGGGGACCACAGGCTGCAGGTGGGGAAGCCAGGGTTAGTTGCATCATGATGTAGAGGACCGGGGTTAGTGGGCACAGGAAGGGCACAAGGGACACACACAAGTTCTTGGCTTCTCCTGGGGAAGGGTCTGTTGTGGGGGTGGCTGCTTTCTGAAGCATCGCCATCTGCATCTGAAGGTTGGAGCAGCTGCCTTCAGGTTCCCGAGGCTGAGAATGGACAGAATTAAATGAAAATAGAGCTCTGGCTCCTTCACCTGCCCCCTCCCACCTCAGCGCAGCCCCCTTGCCCACTGAAATTTCGGAAATGACATTCCTTCCAAGCTCTACTCTCCAATGAAGCCAGGTCAGGCCTGAGAGGCTGGGAAAGGGGTGAAGGCACCAGAGGGGCTGGTTCTCCCAGGGGACGGCAGCTGGTCAATGGGGAAGGCAAACCCCAACACCTGGGACTCCCCCTTCAGTGGCTCATGGCCTAAGGCTTGGGAGAAAAGGGGTTTTGAGAAAGACCTGGAAGACGGAAGTGGGGGGGCAGAACATTCCATTCTGAGGCCGCCTCCTTTGAGCCTTCCCGCCCTGTCCCCACCCTCAGTGTGCCCAGCCAGCTGTGAGGAAGAGGACAGAACACCAAGCTCTGGGGTGGACTCCTGCCTCCTGAGCTGTGCACTCTGACCTTCCCCAGCTTAGGCAGCCACCTGCCTTCAAAAGCCCCATCCTGAAGATGGGTGCAAGGCTCTGCCTGCCATGGGCTGTTGGGAGGGTGCACTAACACTTAGGAAAGGAGTCACAGCAGCCCGCAGGAGCTCCGGGTAACAATCGCGGGCAGCGTAGCAGAAATCTCTTTGAATCTGGAGTTTAGGACAAAATTATGAGCTTGTCTGTTACGGCTTGTTTGTACAGGGAGGGGAGGGCACTAGTGAACAGGGAGGAGACCGGCTTTTTTGCCCTGGGATATTCCAGGGTCTGCCAGGAAGGGACACAGACGGGACAGAGGGTGCGGCGGGATGGCCTTAACCTACAGCCACAGAGACCCATGTAAAGGTCCGGCCTGGTCCCCTTCTATCCAAATGGGTATTTTCTGTGATCTCAGTTTTTCATCCACAAAATGGGGTCAGCCCCACGTGTCCTGTTCAATTCTGGTGGCTCCAGGGAGCCCGTGTGTGTGGCTGGCCCTGAAGACTGGAAAGCAGTTGCCAGTCACGACCTTCCCTCAGGTGCCTCCCCGAGGAGCAACAGAAATGGCTGCTGAAGCAATGCAGGAAAGCGGTGTCCCTTAATGTGGAGAAGTGACAATGCCAGCCTAGGGGCTGTGGTCACATACTATTAGACCTACTTTTGAGGAGGGCTAGAAAATTTCATGATAAAATGTTTTTTATTTTTGTCTTTTTTTCCTCTGTTCTTTTTAGATACACACGAGAAGAGAGTGCACTCTGACACCTGATGACGTACCCGGAGCACAGTTATTCTAACCAGGACCCCATTCTTGAGGTTGGACATCACAGTAAACTGTTTGGTTTTTGACTCATCATTGGAGGCCATTATCTTAATGCTACCCTGATATGGGAGTGTTTCCAAGTTGTGCCTGGGTGGCAGCCGCGCTGGTGCCCTAGGAGGCTGGGCGCGGGCCAGGTGGAAGCACGACTCCCCGTGCTCACTGAGTGCAGGTGTGTCACGGATTGGACTGTCCTGTTGTCCTTTTCATACCTCTGGAAGAGCTCCTCGGAGCAGGAACTGTCCACTGGAAAAGCTAGCCCAGTACTCCTGCCTCACGGCCCTGCCCAGCTCAGTGAGGACAGGGATGAGGACAGGGATGGGGACAGTGGAGGACCCGGGCACAGAGCAGCTCACCTTCCCTCGGGAGGCTGCTCCTCAGTTCTCTGCTTTCTGGGGCTCCGCTGCTGGAAAGAAAAACAGACAGATGGGGTGAAGGACCCCCTCCGGAGGGCAATCCCTGCAGAAGGGGCGCCTGTGTCCCACACGTGGGAGTCCCAGTCACACAGAGGGGGTGTGATTTCCTGCTCTGCTACTTGCTGGTTAGGGGAACCTGGGCCCCTAGACCTGGGCCGTAGGACGTGGTAGTGGGGCCTACCTCCTGGGGCTACGTGCACGTTATGTGAGATGACGTCTGTGCTCGACAAGAAGCAGGTGCTCTGTAAATAGCAACTGTCACTAGCAGTGGCCTGTTTGGTGCAGGTAAAGGAGCAATGTCACAGAGTCCTCTCCTGGCACTGTGGGAGCTTGTCTGGAGGGCCCTCAGGCCATGGGTCCTAGCAATAGTTCTTCCTGGGCCATACAACAACCCTCTCCTGTCCCCTCTGTTCCACTGGGCAGGTGGTCATGGACAGTTACCATTTGCAGTGATGAGGTTCTCCACCTGGGCTTCCTCGTCCCCTGGAGCCCTGTGGAAAAGAGACACAGAGCCCCATCAGAGGTCTCCAGGCAAACCCAGGAGCATCACCACGCTGCTTGCTGGAGCAGGGCCACCTGGGACCTGTCCCTCCAAGTCCTCTGAGCACTCTCTACGGAGTGGAGGGAAGATGGGACTGAAAAGCACAGAGTCAGAAAGAACTTACAGGCACCCTTCAGCCTCAGTCCCCAAGAGAAGTAAGTACTAGGAGGGGTGGCCCAGGGCCAGGGGGGCTTACGTGTGCCCTGCCACAGAATCTGGGCTTCTGAGAACCAGAGCTTCCCTTGGACAGGGTGGGAGTTTTGTGGGAAGACAGGAAGGCCCCATGTCGATGCAGCTCACGGAGCCTTACAGAGAGGTGAGCGGCAGGGACAGAGTCTTGGGTCCTGTAGAAAGGACCTGGGCCTCAAGAGAGACCACGAGGCCCTCTTCTTCCCTTGTCCCGAGCCCAGCTATTCCAGAGGGCAATAGCCAATAGTTTCCAGCACCTTCTATCCCACCCCTGCTCCCCCATACAAGTCACTGGCTGAGCGTCAAGGTTTTGGCCTCTCTTTTGCCCCTAAGTCAACTGTAATTATCAAATTGATATCCGTACACCCTCCCACACACACTCTCCTTCCAGACAAGAGTCCAGGAGAATACCCGTTGAGGTCATACACCAGGGATCCCTCCCTGTCCCTCCTAGTGTCATCCCAGATGGCCACGGGTGTGGCATCCTTACCGGGGCTTCTGATTGAAACTGCACTTGCATCTGCGACCTGAAAGGCAAAGAAATCATCCAAGGTCACGGTCCTGGCCTGGCCACGCCACAGTAGAGCTGCCCTGAGGCCATACAGGATGCAGGACTATGTTCATGGTCCCTAGACTTGGGCAGTGCACCTTGAACGGCTGTATGCTGAAACCCTAGACTGGAGCAGGGTTCCTCGGAGGCCATGGTTGTACGTTCCACAGCTGGAACGTGGCCACACCACCACCGTGCACTTGACTGTGGACCTGCGAGGGCACTGTGCAGACCAGGCTTGTGTGGAAAAAAACAAACACAGGGCCATGTCCCTTGGAGCCCACTGGGGACAGCACCTGTCTCCTTTCTCCTGTGACTGTCCTGCTCATGCCCAATGGATACAGGACTGGGAGAGCCACCCTGCCCATTATTATCTATGCTTATATTCACCTACATAGTCTTTGTTCATGCTTAACTATTTTACTGAGCACTTACTTTGTGCCCAGACCCATGCCCAGCTCTGTATTAGGTCCTGGAGATGAGGTGGAGGCCAGAGTCAGAAAGGCCAGGCCTTATGCTGTTTCCACCTGCTTAGCAGCCACAGAAAACAAGAAATGAACTTACTTAGGATAAGAAGGATCCCAACTGAGAAGAGGACCACAGCAAACACCAATCCTCCGATCCTCAGGGTCTGGTAGTCTGCCAAAGGAACCAGGGGTGAGAGAGGGAGAAGAGGCAGGGCACCAGAGCATGCCTGTCCCTCCCTGGATGGGACTGCGCCTCACTCCCCCTCCCTACACCCAGGGTTGCTGAGGCTGCTCACCATAATGAAAAGGGTCCTTTTCTTTCTCCTGCTCAGCTGCTGCAAAAGTAAACAGACATGGTCAAGACAGCTGCACACGCTGGACTACCTTGTCTTAACTCACAGATCTCAGTCCCCACAGAGATTCCTGGGAATGACATACTGGGGATGCGTGAGTGGAGGGCCTGCTGGGGTCAAGGCCAACCTGAGGGCGAAGGCCAGGTACAGCTCAGAGCTGGTGAGCCCTGCATTTAGACTTCTTCTTTTTCTTCTTCTTTCCCCCCTTGCATCATTCCCCAAAGGTAGGGTCGGTCATCCTTTTGTGACAGAGGGGGAAACTGAGACCAAGGAAGGACTCATGATTTGCATAAGGCCAGAACTGGTTAGTTATGGTCCAGATCCTACAGGCATGTTTTTAAAGTTCAGCCCAAAAGTCCTGAGGTGGCTCTGAGGGCTTAAAAGAAAGCAGGTTCAGCTGGACCTGTGAGGGGAAGAGGTGGACAAGGTGGTGAAAGTCTGTGAGAATCTGTCTTTCCCAGACTTTCTCTGCTGACTAAAAAGACGAGCCTCTGATTAAACATGAGGGATCTGAGAGCCCTCCTACCCTCAGGTCCCAAAAGACCAGAATCTTCCATGAGAAGGAGCTACGGCTGCCATCTTAGCAGGACCAACCCCTAGATGGTACTTACCACTGGCCAGGACTGTGGGAGCCAGCAGGCTGCACAGAAAGATCAGCACTACCTCCATGGCGTCTGGGGACAGAGGGAGGAAGATATTATTCCCTGGACTGGAGAAGACCCTCCAACCATCAACCTGATCCAGGGTGAGTCAAATCCACAGTTGTCCTCTGAGCTCTCAAGACCTGGGAGAGTTCAAACCACCTAGGCTGAAGCAGTTAATATGTATCTGACTCTCACAGAATGCTCTGCATGCACTGATTCAATTAATATAACTGAATTAGAACAATTAGCAGCTACTACGACTAACCCATGCTCCAAGCCAAGCACCTGAGGCTCACAGAGGTTAAGTGACACTCAGAGTCTCGGTCGAGAGCTGAGGGAACTGAGTAACTCCTCCGCTGCCCCCAGGGCCAACGCGGTAACATCACCAGGACTATGAAGAGGATCTCATCAGTGTGCTCCTCTCAGGCCACCCTTCTGTGGCTATCCCTCATTCATTAAGATGTGGGCCTCCCTGGTCTGGTTCCCACACCCAACAACCCCGTTCAGAAATTCTTGTTTATAACAGAATAGAGGGGGCGGTACATCAATGTCCCTCTTGCCCAGCCAGCAGGTAGGGCAGGAGATTTACTGTTCCCTGGACCTTCTGGTAAGCCCTGCCCCGTGGACAGTCCTCCTGACCCTTCCTGCCTCTCCTCTGATAAGTCCAAGTTCAAAATCTTCCCCAAAGGTGGCTTGATTGTCAAAGGGGATTTGGAGACTGGCCTCTCCTTCACCAGGAGGTTCAGAAAGCTCTGTTCAGGGGCTCATTGAGTCCTGGCCTGGCCTCTGGTAGGTGGCCCCAGGATGGGCCACCTGGGCAGAGGCAGAGAGAGGGCCAGTTGGTCCCACCCAGGTACAGATTTCAGTAGTCACACTCCTCAATTAAATGATGGTGGTGCAGAGTCAGAGAAAAGGGGAAGGAACCCGACTCGGGAAGGCCCAAGGTTGTTTGCTGTTTTCCATGTGGGGCGAGACTGGCGGTGGGCTGAATCCCTGGCTTCTGTTTGCTCTGAGTGTAGTCACCCATGACTTTCCCCAGGTCCCCATCAAGCACCCCTACCTGCCCTTCACTTCTCAGCCACCAGGGGTCAGCACAGCTACATCCAGAGCCCTGTCAAGGCCAAGGCCCTAGACTTGGAGAAGGTGATTCAAAGTGCATTTATCAAAAAGCGATCATTTGCTTGTAAAGCTATCTCACTTCATATTTATATTTCTTTTAAAGTTTACATTATATGTTACATGTATAAAAATATCTGTAGCACACTTATACAATGAAACATAGTATTAAGGTAAACACCCATAAACAAGTAAGTTCGGAACAAGAACATTGCAAATTCTGCTCTATTTACCTATATTTTCCCCCAACCCATCCCCCTGTCTCCCTCTCAGAGGTAATCAGTATCCTGAATTTCACATATATTTGTTGTTTTTAATTTTGTCCTTGCTCTTCTATTTTAAAAAGCTGCTAATCAGCAAGATTTCAGTTCTGCATGATGAATATGTTCTAGAGATCTGCTGTACATTTTTAATACAGTATTGTACACCTAGAAATGTTAAGTGTTCTTACTCCAATAAAAATACATAATTGGCATACTATGAAATTCACACTTAGAGTGTACAACCCAGTGGTTTTTAATATAGTCACAGGGTTGTGCACCCACCACCACCATTTAGTTACATCCCCACAGAAACACTATACCCCATTAACAGTCACTCCCATTCCTCTTTCCCCAAGATCCTGACCCCATTAGTCTAAAACAACGGTAGACACATATGCACACACAAATGCGTGCATACACATGCGTGTGTCTTACTATTGATTTCAAATGGAGTTCTTCAAATGTTTTGAAAATTCCCCTCTAATCTTTCCAGGATGTTTCTGATTTATATTAATTATAACTGCGGGTTCTATACATATGGTTTTTCTCTTTAATCTATCCAAAACTGTGAGCTAAATAAACCTTCATATTTTTTAATATTTATTTTGTAGTTATAGGTGAACACATATCTTTATTTTATTTTCATGTGGTGCTGAGGATCGAACCCAGGGTCTCACACGTGCTAGGTGAGCACTCTACTGCTGAGCCACAATTCCAACCCCTAAGCCTTCATTACCTGGTGTCAAGTAGTTTGTCATAGAAACAAAAGAGCCTAAGACAGTACGGTGGTACTGGTCTCATGAACAAGTATTAGCTCTCTTGTCAATCCCTGGAAGTCTGAAGAAGATTGGAATAATCTAGGTTTAGTATTTTCTTTGTAGGAAGATTTAAATGCCTAATCAATTAATTCACAGTTGTGAATATACCTTTGGATATTTATCTTTTCTTGAATACATTTACTATCCAGATACATTTAGTATGAATTTGCCCTTTTTGCTATAAAACTTATTGTTACAAAGTTGTTCATGGTATTTTCTTGTGGCTATTTTAATTTCTGTTGGATCTGTGACCACTTCCTTTTTTTTTCATTCTTAATATTTCTTGTGACAATTCCTTTTTTTATAGATCAGTCTCACCAGAATATTAATCTTTTCAAAGAAATTAATCTTTATTGTATGTTTAAATTTTTTCTTAATTCTGCCCTCCTATATTCTTTGGTTTTATTCTATTTTGTTGTTGTTCCTATTGTTATCGTCAGTAGGACATCTAGTTCGCTTTTCTCATTTTCTAATTTAAGCATTAAGATGATAAATTTTCCTCCAAGTGACACTTTCACTCTACCATATAAGCTTGAAAATATGGTGTTTTTTTAAATGACTGTTCAATTTTTTGTACTTTAACTTTCCATTATAATTTTTTCACTATAATTTCTTATTTGACCCATGCATTATTAAGAAGTATTTTTTTTAATGTCCACATGGAGAGTCATTTTTAATTTGCTTTTATTACTGACTTCTAACTTCAGGGCACTATAGTCAAAGAATGTGGTCTGTATGACAGATGCCTTCAACTGTGGTCACTTACTAAAAATACACATTCCATGGATTCTTAGGAAATTGTGAATATCTTCACTGTTGGGAAGGAAGTTCTATATGCTCATTAAATTAAGTTCCTGGGCTGGATTGTAGCTCAGTGGTAGAAAGCAGTTGCCTAACCTATGCTAGGCCTGTAGTTTGATCCACACAAATCTCTCTCTCTCTCTCTCTCTCTCACACACACACACACATACACACACACACACACACACTCACACACACAATTAAGACCATTAACTGCTTATTTAAATTTCTATTTTTTCATGATTTTGATTGTTTAATATCCAAAATTGAAATAGGTGCCTTAAAATCTACCACAATGAGAAAGGATTTATAAATTTATCCCTGTGCTTCTTAACAGAATTCTAACAGTTTAAAGTTGTTTTATTATCTTGTGATTGGGTCTTTTAGGATTATATAGCAATTCTGTCTTAAAATCTACTTTGTTTTCTACCTTTCTAGGGACTTACGTGTTGTGTAAAAAAAAGCTGCTTTTTTTTCTTTCTTGTAAATAGAACCTGATGGACTTTAATAATTGTCAGATTAGCTTCATTTGCTGTAACTATTGATATATTTGGACTGATTTTTGCCATTTATTTGTCCCCTAATTTTCTAGTAATTACTTCTATTTTCCTTTTCTTTCTTTTGGATTGATTTTTTTTCTTATTCACGTTTTCTCTTGACTGGTTTAGAAACTGTACAACCTATTTCTGACCTTTTAGTGGTTGCCTTTGGAATTTCACCTGTGTAGTCAACTTATCAAAGATTTAGAAGTCCAAAGGTAATAGCTATAATAATTATTAGGCATAATACCTTGAAAAATACAAAACTACCAATCACCCTTCCTGATATGTATGCTAATATTGCATAATATTTGCTTTGTTCTTTAAAAATCCTATAAAGTAGGTCTTAGCATTTGTACTTTGTGAGAGTAGTGTCTCAATCCACCCACGGTGCAGCAGACAGTTCTCAGGATGGCCCCCAGTGCCTCCTGGCATACGGTTCTCATCAGCTCCCCCACCCTGCTCCATGGCTGGCCTGTGTGACCTAGAGCACGGTAGAAGGAATGGCATGCTGCTCCCAGTACCAGTCAGGTTGTAAACACCCCCACCCCACCACCACATCTTCCCCTTCCCTCTCCCACATCCCTCAGATTGCTCATTCTGGGGAAAGCCAGTTGCCATCTTATGGACACTCAGACAACCCTGTGGAGGGGTCCGAGTAGCAAAGAATCAAGGGCCTCCGTCCAAAAACTTGCTAGAAAACTAGGCCCACCATGAACCACGAAGTGAGCTTGGAAGTAGATTCTCCGGGCTTCAGGCAACTGCCTCGCTGGCTGACAGGTGACTGCAACCTCTTTAACCCGAGCCAGAACCGCCCAGCTCAGTTTCTTTGATCCCCAGAAACCGTGTGAAATAACCAATGTTTATTACCCAAAGTGGCTGAGTTTGGGGTAATTTGTTATGGAGCAGTAGATAATCAATGTAACATATTTACTAAATGATTTGTTGGCCATTCTTTCTGAATCTCAACCATCCTCCAAACTATTTTCCTTATTTCTAAAGATCATCTTTTAGAATCTTCTTTAAAAAAGACTATTTGTTGAAAAAGCCTCTTTTTTCTGTATCTAGAAATGTTTTCATTTCACCTCTGGGGTGGACAGACCTTAAGGGGATCCTCAAACATCCCAACCTGCTAACATCCAACCGTTGTGTGAACTACCCCTCTTGAATACACACAGGAGAGGCAACTTGCTTCTCACAACAGGATATGGCAAAGGGGATGGGAAACCACTCAAATGGTGGCATTGTGTTCCACAAGACTGGACCTTAGCAACTAGAGCCAGAGAACGTTCTCCCTTGTTAGTTTGAAAAAGTAAGCTGTCATGTGTGAGGGGCCTCTGGAGAGGAGCACACTGCAAGGAATTGTGGGATGTCCCTAGCAGCTGTGAGCAGCCCTGAGCCAACAGTCAGCAAGAAAAGAGGGACCTCTATCCTCTGCCGCAGAGAGATGAATTCAGTCAGCCACCTGCAGGAGGCTGGAAGCAGAGCTTTCC